TACAGTCTGAAAATATGTGATAATTTGGATTACCACAGTCCGAGCTATAGAAAGTGGAAAATTACTAAACTATCACTCCTGTTAATAACACACGGCGTATCTATCCTCCAGGTTGTTTTGGTCGCATTACACACTACCGCGAGTCTTGATAGAAACAAGTTCTCTGTGATGAGTAAACGATAATAAAAACGTCATGCATTCAAACCTTGTACATTTGTCCTATAGAATATCAGGTAATAACTAACTTTCCACTGACGTTGTGAAGAAAAACATTTTAGTGTTTCCGTAAAAACTTTCTCGAAAGGCAAAAAAGATAATTGATAATTACTAAATAATTACTTTGTGATGTATTTAAATGTTTTGTATGTACATAAACATTTAACCGAAAGTGATGAATAATTATTTCGTAATTTCCAGGTATTGTAGGTTTTTGTAACTGAATACAACAGCGACAACCAAATAAATAATATTCTACGAAACAGTAACTAATTAAGATATTGCAGTTTCAAAAATGGCGTTTTACAAAAAACACACAAACTATTTGGGTTGATTAATAAATCTTTAGTATCATGACTTATGCGAGTTCAAAATTGTAGACCAGCACATTCACTATAGCGAATTCCATGCTGCTGGATGTCATAGGCGTGATGTAACCCATAAGCCTCTTATCGCAGCTGTAATTGTAAGGAATTGGCTTTCTGATACCTTCAGCAAACTTTGTGGGAAAATTTTGAAATAAAAAATACATGGCAAGGAATGATGAATCTCGATGCTCACGCTAATAGACGGGTTTGTGTTTTATACAACATGATATAGGCTTGTTTCACTTAATTTAGTCTTAGCAACAGTTCTTGTAGCCAAAAATACCTTCATCGCATTGCAATATTCTTAACGATACAATGCTGCACTGCTTACGACAACAGAAAAGTTTGTAAAAGGTCATATATTTTTCAGTATAACGTGATGTCACATGTTGTGATCAGTGTTTGCTACCATAAAGCTTCGATCCAAGTCCAATTAAATAATGCTATATTGTCTTAAATCTCGCTGTACTTGGAGCTTCTTTATAAGGTGGGTGACATCTATTCCACTAAATATCTTTACCAGTTTGATGGCAGGTATTAATGTCTTGGTTATGACCGAAGACAAGGCTAAACCATCACTATTAAAATGAGAACTCCTGTGACAAAATACGATATTCCTCTTTTCAAAATTTGCTGTTCCATAGCTTTCGGTAAAGGTTAATATATATATGTACATAAATGCATTGGTTATCAATGTTATTTATCCCTTTGTTTACTTAAGACATAACGTGTAGATAGGCACCAACTGTATCAATGTTGACCTAATATTATTTTCTTAACCTTTCCAACGAAGAGAAATAGGATATCTTATGCACATCACAGAGTTTGATTTATGTAGATCTTTTTGTTTTTCCATGAATAATGCCAAACACAAAAGTTGCAAAACTCGTTTGAATCTTAATTCTTACCCAGACAGAAAGGATACCAGTACTATTGAGTAGGTAAAGGTTTTGATTATTCCTGATATTGGTTTGATAATGTTTTGTTTGTAATAAAACTGGTTATGTCGAAATCTTTGCCAAATCAACGACACAGCTGGGAAAGTTTTAGTGAAAGTCATCTGACAGTAAGTTCTATGATTACATAATACCGAAACTTAACACGCAAGTAAAGATAAACAACAATTCGCACCGTTTACAAAACCCGAATTCTGTTTTTAAAACTCATATTCGCAATGAAATCGCAAACTTGATTCGCAGGTATAAATCTTCGATATAATTCCTACCTTACTATCATAATTAGTTTCGTACTTAGGATATTCAAAATAAACATTTAAGTAAATGATGGTTTTCTGATTCATCCATGCGATTTGAAACACTAATGTGAAACGGATCTTTTTAGAAGTCAAAGGTGAAGGGGGTTTTACCTAACAGGCATGTGAATAAGGGTGGTACAGTCATGTGCAGGGTTACGGGTTTTAGTCAATACTAAAAAAAAGTAGGTTATAATGTTTGTCCCGCTTTTATTTGCTTCGAATATAAAACTGACAGCATTTTGATTTATAACGAGTGCACTTGCTCTGAAAGTAACTTATGTCTACACTACTAATACATACTAACGTAGTTGCTTGTGTTGAGTGACAATTAACGAACACTCCAGCAAAAACTTACAGTTTTTATATCCTTGAGTATCGTCTGTTTTTTGTTGCTATGACATAATTACACTCCATAAATCATATGAACATGTAAAGTAAAAGTCGGATTTTATAATGCATTTCTTCGCTACTGGAAGCTTCTGCATTCATATGAATAAAGTCACGATTTCTCAGTAGCATACTAATACAAGTAAAATTGATCTGACAACCAACAAAATATTCGGTTTTGGTCCTACAACTACTGCCCAAATACTAACTCCTCTCCAACAGAAGGATAAACAATACGCAAAGAATTAGATGATTTGGTTTGATTTACAAATATATATACAATTACAAGAATTTCATTTGAGTTTCCTTTAAAATATAAGAAAAACATAATCATACAAATCATCGCCAGTTTTTGTACTTCTGCTGCCGCAATTCGCGAATGTCCTGTAGTTCAATTAATCTAATCTCAGTTCTACGGCTAATTCTCTCATAAATATGACTGAGACAGTAGGGGGTGAATATTTTGGGGGTATAATTTTAAGTGATTCCATATATAATGAAACGGGACCTAAAAACTGGTACGAAACGTAGTATCACCTACTAATACCTTACAACTAGTATTTATCATTAATTAGAGAATATATAGACCAGCCTTTTAACTTGTATCAACTAAAAATACATGGGAATATAATCTAGAAATCAATCGGCACACGTGTTCAAGTTGAAAAATTCAAACTTTCGGGGTTGTCAACGATTCTAAGTCTTGAAGTTAATTAACCACTTTTTCGGAACATTATGTATTACTTTTATTTAATACGCCATCAAGCTAATAATTGCTGCTTCAGTGAAACCATTTTTTCCTAATCGACTCCAATAAACTGGTTATCTGCCTCAATAAATCTTTCCGATACAAATTTGTATGTGGATTCGCTTGTAAAGCTATTCAGAAACCATATGGCCCAAGTCGTTACCAAAGAAACGTATTAACGACTCACTTGTATACATATATATGTAACCTGTAATCAAAGGAGAGCGAACTCTGAGGTTGCCGCAAGCACAGCCTTTAGCCGTTACTCTGTGATGGGAAAATAACAGTAACAAAATTAAGCACAAGAAGTTGAATGAGCACACAACACGCGGTCATCAAATTCAGAAAAATAACGTCATTGTGTTATAGATCTGTACGTGCCTAAAGTTCAGTCTTTCTGTTGTTGTTGCTAAAAAAGAAGTTAACAACAGGCAACCGACAATTGTTGTGGTTCTTTAGTCGTATTGAAAGAGAACTCTTGTTAAAACAGATTAAGAAGTTAAGTTTCGAAAAAGTATCAATGAATAATTGTACCAGTATACGTCTACTATTTGATGTGATAAGCATGTTTTAAAGTTTAATCGTGCTAAACGCCACAGGATCAACGTATGCCTTTAGAAAACAGCAAAATAGCCACATACAGTTTTATCGAGTAAAACGAACACAAAGTAGTGCGGGATCTTTTCCAGGTTATTAGATAGAACACAGACGGATTTCGAAGTGGTGCAATAATCCAACCACTCTGAAACACTAACGAAAATACCCAATAATATCCCAATGGCTACAAAAATAATTTTGAAGAATGAATTGTGAAACAAATTAAAAGGTGTTTCATGAAATCGGTCTAAAATAATTACCAGAATGCAGCACAAAAAATTATAAATATTAGTCTGGAAACCGACCTAAAGATAGGAATATAAAAGAACGTTACCTGTGTAAATTCATCAAGTTAATAATTCTGATAACATAGAATGACGTGAAAAACGTTTCGACCATAAATGTCAATATTTCTTATATTTTCGTGAACTCGGCATTAGGTCTTAATAAATCAAAGCTCCAGGCAATGTAGCATCATTCTTGTGATGTTTTGTATTTATGCATTAGACGTATATTTTATAATGCTATACTACTTATTGTCTCCCAGTGGTTCAGCGGCTTATGACGCTAAAAATAGGATTTCGATACCCGTAGTTCGCAGAGCGCTAATTGTCCATAGTGTAGCTTTGTGCTTAATAACAAATCAAACAAACTTTTCATCAACGTTTATTCTCAAGCTGATAACTTTGTTTTAAGAAGATAGTAGTTCCTCATCCTTAACTTTGGAAATTATTTACAGTGGGAGTTTTAAATGCGATGCTTACAAACAATAAATTTACATAAAATCCCATATTACTTTACACATAACTCTTCTAATTTCATGAAGCTTTGTGATCTTCTCTATTCTCTCTTTTTACCAGTACAACCACGTTCACAAAACAAAAAGCAGACATTGGGACACATTCTAAAAATTATGTTGTTATATTAATTTTCTAAGTCTTTTTCAATAAGTTCTTGTAAACTGTGTAAGTTATAATAATATAAGCAGAATAGGAAGTAAGTGTCATAAACTGAAAATAGAAATGCAAAATTCTATATGGTAATTATAGCATAATTAACAAAATACTCGCATAACCTTATCCCTTCAATTCTTATTTTTTGCAGTAATACAGATATTCTAAATAAACAGATAACATAAAGGTAATGATAGAGATAACTAAACTGTTGCTTTGTTATATCATTTTCGTTTTCTTAAGTCAGTTGCATAAAAGCTAGATTATGGCCCACACTCAGTATATGTAAAACTTTTCCAATACTGCGATATGCACAGTAAAAACATGAACTATTTTTGTATCTATGATCAACATACAAAGAATATACAAGGGGCGCTCTGAATTTTATTTCAGATTTTTTAGCGCAAAGCTATACAAAGAGCTATCTGCGCATAGCCACCCCAATTTTTAACTGATGGCTAATAAACAGCACCAACCGTAAACACTTATCTGACGTCATGGCCCCAAAAAATGCAAAGCACATTTTTCAGCCACGGGATGCTAACCACGGACCCTTGGATTCATTGTCCGGACACAGGAACCACAAAGTCCACACCTGGTCTTCCAAAAGAAGAGGTAATTTCATTTCCCACAGACCGACTATATCAGGTTAGAGGAAGCGCACACCAATGGTGTACAATGATGGTAACCAAACATCACTTATCAACATCATCCAATTACGTACAACTGCTTTAATAACTTCAGTTTTCAGGCCATCTCTGAGAAGATATAAAAAAGAAGGTAGAAGTCACAGAGATCTAAATCAAAAATATATGCAGGATGGATAAGATCTGTTTTAATTGTAATCATTTTACGACGAGCAATTAGGGTCTGGCATTATCATATGGGATGGAAACATCTATTAAAACTGTGTTGATGTCAGGACATTCAGTAATTAGGGCGAAATTGTGTTTCGCGCTATCTATTGTGGAAACACTTAACATGTGATTCCATTAATAGCAGACGGACAATAAACATAACTATTCATTAACCATAATTTACTCATACCTTACATGTAGAACAGAAAATTCCATTTCTTTCTTACGACCTCTTATTTTAACACGCAATCTTATATTTTTATTTCATATTTACTTTTAATCCGATGTCATTCATCAGAGGGTAAAAAGACATTCTGACTACTGTTTACAGGACTGAGTAGTTATTACAATTGAAAGAAATCGAGACAATAAACATCAATTATTCAATATCAACTGATATTGGTGGATTATAAGAAATACACACTTTGCTAAATAACTCTTAGAGATATTTAAACATACTTAAAAAATCCATGACATTATTAACCCTGTGATTATGGAACCATTGCACAACTATCCTAAAATCCCGATCTTAAAATAATTTTATTTTAATTGTTTGTCCAACTAACAAAAAACGAATTAAATTTAAGTGCTACCTTGTCATCCAAGTAGCTTTTAAATAATAAAGCACGTATATCATGGCTGGTGCTAAAAATATATATACATAGTTTCTTTCAAGTATTTAGACTTGATCGACTCCAGTGAAACGGTAAGAATAACTCAATCTAAACACGAAATCAATATGGAAGTGATCATTTACAAACATAAAAAACCATGATAATCGGAATCCAATTCAAGCAAAGTCGTAATAAAAATAATGCACCAAAAGCCTCATTTTACAAATCTGTAGTAATGTTTTATGAAGTTTGCAAAGCTGTATTCCTTTTTTTTTCTAGTTGTAGGTTGCATTGCTTCAGCTCTCACACATGTATCCTGCCCTTTAGTATGACCATAGTCTTCCTACTAATTAGTGTACCAAGACCAGAAATTCTAGTTCATTTACGTATATAATGTTTTATTTCATGTGTTCTAGCAGGTGATGTAGGGTATGCGTAACTACGGCTTCTACAGAATTCTAGATTCTCCTCTTTAGATCACGATTTAATTGTCCGAAACAAGTTTTGTTCTTGCACCTGCACTTATATCTGATATTAACATTCAAGAAAAACAAGATACTGTAATTATTGTATAAAATACTGATCACGAAAGCTTAAAGCTTTAGTCAGAAAGAAAACGTTGAAAAATGTTTTACAGCCCAGGTTTAGTAGTGTTAATTTGTATGTTTCGCTAAATACTTTTGTAAGTACTGTTTTTATTTTATCACATGACAACAACAAAATTAATTATCTCAAATCCAAATACCAACAATTCATATAATGCAATTACTTTAAAAACGCATTTGACTTGAAATGGGTGTTGTTTCAAATACAGCGGAATTAAAAAACAAGTCATAAGCCATATATATTTTAACAAATATAATACAGTTTTCTTATATTACCCTTTGACCTCTTCCTAATTCAAATGGTAAAATTTTGGTATTTTATTTAAATATTTTTCCGAATCTTTTACACTAAATTTTGCAAAACATAAGGTTAAGCGAGATTAAAAAAATATCAGTAACATTTCTTTCGATAAACAGTTTCAGGAGAAATTCACCAAGTAACAACAAAAAAACCACATGATGGGATGAGTAGGTTCCGCGCAACCTTGCACCTTCATCTTTACTGATTACTTCATGAGAACCGCCTCTCCTCTCCCCACTTTCACAAATTTGTAGAGTGTTGTTTATTTATATGTAGACTGACGATGTAAAGTTTCAGTGATTGTTTGAACTCAATAAATGCAAGTATAGAATCATATCACGGTCAGTCTGTAAAACAGCAAGGGGACATGATAGTAAGCGACCAGATCAAAATAGACAGGCTTGTAAAGTGTCACAGATAACACAATTCGTCAAAACTGACCAACTCCTTCAATAATGGTCAGTAATATATTTTATCCTGACTACACAAAGAACATTATGAACACTGTAATAAAGCAGCTAAAACTTTGGCAGAAAGTCATTTATCTCAATAACAAACAACAGAGCATGCTTTCAAAGACGCTTAGAGTGCGAACAGTGGATAGAAAATGACTGGAATCTTGAGATGTGTTCTGTTGAGTTTCTTTTCATCCATTTATGTTTTGAGGGTGGGTAGAAATATAGGGAACACTATAGAATGTGATCATGTGGGCCATACTCTCGTGTGAAGGAGTGGGTCATTTAATTTCCACATGAAAGTGATATAATATCCAGTACCTCCTGAATGATAACACCTATATTGTTGTTTCCGCGCTGATGAACAAGGGTTCTTCCAAAATGATAATGCAACAATCAATAAATTCGTTGTTATGCATATTTTCTGACTATATGGAGTTAGAAAATAGGTAGTCTTTGACATCATCTGGCAAGGAATTATTTAGAAATTACAGTTGGTCGATACAGATCAGAAGGATACTATCTTGAACATCATTTGGAGAAGCAAACTTTTTGAGATGAAAAGTTGGTTAGAATATTTTGTTCTTCTTCGCGAGAACCGAATTACCATATCTGAGAGATAATCGCTGATATCATCTGTTAATGGAATTATTCTAAGACTAAAAATTATTATTACTGTTTTAATACTCTTTCTGGTGGTAGAGTTAACAGATATAATGTTAACAATGCCACTGGCATCACCTAGAAAGAGGATCCTTCATAAACTATAGTTGATTACTATTGTTTTGTTACTTCTTTAATGCAGAGACATCAGATACAAAGAAAATGTTTCTAGTGGTCATAGAGAATCATAAGTTTGAAACATTGTTTATTTACTTCATGAACTTTTATTGGGATATAATTAATCATCAATATCGTGTACTTTATTTGATGTGCCTTTATTTACTGTAGTTCAACGTCTCGAGTGGGTATATATATATATACCTTCTAGTTAAGTCTGTGCTTTGTTAAATGTATACAAGTCACAATTTTCTTCCATTTAACAGAGGTAGTAATTCATTTATTAGCTACAAGATACTGTATTCTAGTAAAATGACTGTTTTCGTTCAATGTATCATAAAACAACAAACCAGATAACTCTCTTTAGTAAATAACTAGGTCAAACATTTGCTGTTAAGAAAATTAACACAAACTATCCGAACCAACTACGATCACATCTGTTACCAGGTGTCTGTGTATACACCACAATTCTCAGAAAGGTAACTTAGAGTCGCTTACAACCTGTATGTTCTAATTTCTCGTAACCTCAGTTCGCCTCATTAATTCTTCATTTTACTTCTTTTGTGTAAAACAATCTATACTGCTTAGGTAAATTGGAATTCTTTGTTTTAACGTTAAGTAAAAATAAACGACCTTACTTTATTTTTCTATGCATCAAAATATAGTATCTATAATGTAAGAATTCTACACTGAAACCAGAAATTATCTTATCTTAATTATCCTTGATCTCCTGTTTCTAAATGCGACTTTGATTATGTGGTTTATGAGGCTAAAACTAATCCAACACACAACCCTACCCCAAATTCTCTAAAGGCATAGAACGCCTGAGTAGACGTTTATTTGCAAAACGTGTGAAATAAAATCACAAATACACAACCCAAGTTCCTCTAAAGGTTTAGATCTGGTATATCACAATAGGACTGATCATGATTAAAGTCACTTCGCTCTTCATTGGACCAATACCGATTTCTAGTAGGAATATACAATACTTCTTGAAAACTCGTATTCACATCACTCGTATCTAGACCAATACCAGTAAGTAGAAACCCGCATTCACGTCACTCATATTTAGACCAATACCAATAAGTAGAAACCCGCATTCACGTCATTCTTAACTACACCAATACAAATGAGTAGAGTATATAATATCATACTTCATTATTGCAAACCTATATACAATGTATTATAATAGCAAACTTGCAAAAGTGAAATTAAGGTTATACCACACAGGCTATGTTTATGTTTCATCCAAATACACGCAAACGTTGTCTTTAGGTGGTATACGAGACTTTTTAAATTTTGTGAAATCTAACATTGCGGGTTTTTCGTAACACTTGAATGACACCAGATCGAACAAGTAGCTTAAATGTTTAGATGATATTCGCAAGTAAAAAAAGATTAGTGATAAACAAACAACTAACACAATATTATGTGCAAAAATAATAAAAATGTTACAGAAGATTTAACTGTTATTGTTGAGTTAAGTATGTCAAATAGCTCTAACTCTGACATTAAGTTCATCCTAAGAAACAGAAATGGTTTTTATAGCTGACAACTAGGGGCGTCGCCGGGATATTTTCATGGGGGATCGTTTCTGAAATCACATGTACGCTTAAATAAGTCGTAAGTTGGTAGCGTGGTACATAGCAAGGTTCATGTCAGATTGAAAAACACATTAGCAAACAAGAGGTTATGAATATAAACACACAATACCACATATAATAAACACACAATACCACATATAATAAACACACAATACCACATATAATAAACATATAATACCACATTCTGCTGTTTTTGCAGTACTAGTTTTAGTTTTCCATGACTACCAAAATGGAGCGGAGGTTCGACAGGTGTGTGTGGGGGTCCCATGTCAGCGATAGGAAACATGACATAGATAACTTCCTACTATAGCTACAACTGTACAAATAGAAACGACGGGTTGTTAACAAGTATTGTTAGTATTATTGCTTACTTGTTTGTTTGTTCTTGTTTTGTTTTTCAGCCATAGTTAAACAATCAACTATTACTGATTAACTCAAGCAATAAAAGCATTATCTAACGTTGAAACTTGAGGCAATGAGCCATAAAAATTTATTAATGAATCTTATCTGTCTCAGAAATTTCAGAACCAAATTAACTCCTA